TACACCACCAGGATGACCTAGCTTACATCAGCAGGCTCTACCTACATCTACGTTTTTCCTAAATCTACAAAGCATTATTTTATTTATTTTGTTGTTTATTTTGTTTTTTGTTTTTTGTTTTGTTTTTTTTGTTTTGTCCTACTGGATTTTGAATAAAGGATCATAAGGATTTAATAGCGTTGTGAGAAATCAGTAAAATTCAAAAAAAAAAACATGTCAGGAGCTTCAGCTCAATTCTAATAGAGCGTTTTCACTCACGTGACAAGGAAGCCATATTGGTGTACCACACAATAGAAGCTTTCCGCACAGTTTTTGCATAAAAATAGAGTTCAATTTCCCGAGGATACAATATGTATTGTTTTGGTATACCAAGATGGCCGGTGTGACGTTACATGAAAACGCTCTATTAATAATGGAGGATTCCTTCCAGAAATGCTTTTTTTACCTTGTCTTATTTTAATAAACAAATTATGAAACAATGCTGAACACCCAAGAGAGGAGAGGAAAGACGACAAGTGCTTTAAATATAGACCAGTAAATGAACAATACACGAGGTTTTGTTTGCCCATCAGAAAGTCTTACAAGTGCATCCTTCGCAAGCTAATCAGGTTTATACGTGTTTGACGACATTTGTCAAGTTATATTTTATTTAAAATGTATATATTTATAAAGAGTCTAGAAATTTCCCTAAGGTTTTGATATCTTTTGTGTGATCTGCTGAACAAGTGCCATCGCGTGAGAAGTGATCAAAATATTTGGTTTTAATCTTACGATAACAGCTCGTAAGCTTCATGAGTAGTTGAAGTTATTCAAATGAGGAAAAAGACATCCTTTGTCTCAAATTTTCTTCACCTCTCATTTCTCAAGCCTTTGTTCTTGATGATGAATCTTCGTCAAAGAGCCAACATGCCCTACGGCTTACGCCTGCCTTATCTAAAGCCAAAAATAGCTAAAAAAAACTGCCTTAATTCTACACCTGCCTCTCATAAAGCAGTCCATTCAACGAT